GGAAAAAAAAATATGCGTGGAAGCATCGGGAATGCGCTCCCGGGTGAAGTGATTTGGTGAGAACGTTCCAGTTGAAGATTGTTGACAAGTGTATTTGTGGTGATGCAAATTATGGTTTAGATGACGCATGACTTCAAACATTTTGTGTATCCAAATAAAACATATTACATACTAAATACGCACAGGGCATCGTCTGCTGACCATTGCCGCGGGTATATCGTGGGAGTCCCAGGTACCCGGTTCAAGCTTTAGTTGGCGGCGGTGGCTCTTCTTGACCTTCTACCCCCTGAGTAGTTAGTGTGAATAAGGGCGTCTATGTGATGTTTTGCTGTACCTGTTGTGGACATTTAGTGCATCCTGTTCCCTTAACTTGTTGAGGACTCCCTGTCTTGCCTCAAAAGTTACCCTTTTTGAAGTACTAGTCTTCACAACATAAAGGGCACCATTACGGAGCATGAGATTTGATCAAATTATTCGCAGTTCTACTTGTCCAACGCCCCCGGCTGGGTGAGGGATAGAGGATGACACACACACACACACACACATTTGAGGAAATTCCTGGTTATTTCCCATTTGTTTTCTATTCCCGATTAATTTCCGGTACTCTCAGTTTTCCCGGTTTAGTACCCACTCAGTGAATATAATGCGAGATACATCATTATGAAGAGTGTCAGGTGTCAAGAGTTCATTTTCAGTATGGTGGTAGAAGAGTTAATATGAGGTAATTTAGACAGTTTTTTTACGTTCTGTAACTCAATACCTTCTCAAGTCGATTGTCTCTTGAAGGGAGAGTTAAGTGCATTTTGAAATCTTACTCAGATTTAAGGGATTGACTGTCCTACAAATATCAGTTCATTATTCTGTAAAATCTGGGACAGTGTGACTTTTCGGATCGACTGGATGCAGGGCGTCTTTGTGAACGTTTCAAAGAAGGGGGATCTGATTATGTGCGACTAATTGAATGATATACCTAGTTGAGCAGTTTTGGAGTAACCGTACATCAGCGGTTTTGAGGAAATGAGGTTATACATTACAATGTTTTGAAGGAGAGCATTAATAAAATCAAGGGGCAAGACAACTGTACTCAGAGTTAATGTATTTGCAGTGAGTAAATTTGAGTTACTCATATTTACTCAAAAATAAACAAAGATTTAGTTTTCATTAATTAAAAGATCTATGTTGGATGGCTCTTGTCCAGGCCAGGGGATGCTAGGGCTCTTTTGCTTTCTAGGGATCGATTTTCCGGCTATTTCTGGCTACCCTGGCATCAAGAAATAGCTGAAGACTCTTCCCGGGAATTGGGAAATGTTTTTATCCAGTAATATAATTTTCGGTAGCTATATATTAAAATTTGAACTTACCGGAAAATTTTCCGACATTTTATGACAGTTTCTTCCAACTTCCCCTTTTAGATTTCAACCGACTTCTTCGGATGGGAGTTTCTTCCAACATCTCCCGGAAGTTTTTAAAAGTTATCCTGGAAGAACCTTCCACCTTCTCCACAAATTTCTTCCATCGTTGAACGGAAGTTTCATCAACTTTCCGTTTCAACAGTATCTTCAGATTAACCTCAGCAGTCTTACTGGCTACCGCTGGCGGTGGAAATTATTTTCCATTTTAGGCCTGTGACAAGGGTGACAAGGCCTATACTAACAGCAGCGTTTGACAGTAGGCAGCATGTCCCGGACTCAAATAATTTATTTTGCTGTGCTGGGCCCGCTGTCACTGTATGACATGTTGCCTACGCGCCTACCACTGGGCTGATTTTAGCCGAACTTCGCATGGAAAACTTTTCTGAATTATTCTGAAAGTTTGATCCGGCTGCCCAAATTTGCATTGGCCATTTTTCAACTATTTCAGAAAGACTCTTCCAACCGAGGGGCACGCAATACAAAGAACCGGTTGAAGTTAAAATGCAATCAAAAGTACTTAAAATAATTAATGCCTTTTGAAGTAGTACTGACGGTAATTAAAATTATCTATCCGTAATCAATGTAATTAAAAGTATTGAAAATGTAATTAATGTACTTTAATTACGAAATTTCAACTTTAATTAATGGAGTTAAAAAGTAGTTAATGTTCTACATTGTGTAATTAATGTAATTAAAGCAGTAGTTAATGGAATCAATTTAATTACAGTCGTTGCCTGCGTTGGAGTTAAAGGTTATTGCGTGCTCCTAGCTTCCAATTTCACACGTAAATTTCTCAAAAATTGTTTCAGAAGCGTCTAACGGTGTCGCATGGGAGATTCTTCGCCTGGAAGCTTTCCTGATTTCGCACTAAAGATTCGTCAAATTTTCTCCAGAATTATAAGTAAAACTGTTTCCCGGGAGTCGAGAAATGATAAATCTGATAAATTTCCCGGGTAAGGGCAACGCTAGGTGATGTGGTTTCACAACCAAGGAATGTGTAATTTGGCCAAAAAGTTTTCAGAAGATTATTTTTAGCTCATGAAAATTAATACTCAATCTCACAAAATCAGTCAAAAAGGTTATTCATTAGACTGATGCAAAATTTGACTTTTTCGCTCCTGATAAGCCTCCCAAAGTTACAACTCATGTGGTTAGAAACAGACTTCGCACAAGCCATTTGAAGTTTACATGTAAATTACTATGGGAAATCTCAACTTTTTGTTCATTGCCTTCTAGTCTTTTTCCATATTGAACAGTTCGATAGCAATTCTTATAGAGAATCTTCTCAGCTACAACTTTGCTGAAAATCGTTTCTTTGTAAAACGAGACAGGAAAAAGATATAAATTATTTAAGCGATTAGTAAACTTATGACATGATCAAGCAGGTGCTCTGTAGGCAACACTGTATTTTGCAGTGTGACATAGTAGCCATGATTTTTGTGTCCTATTCAACGCCCCAGAAACACCAATGTTGCCTGCTGAGCAGTTGATTGAGTATGATCATAAGACATCAGCGCATTGAACCATTGATAACTTTCGATCCTTGCATTTAATCAAAAAGTGGTCCTTAACAAAGTTGTAGCTGGGAAAATTTCGTACAAGTACAGTTGAAAGTTTTTGAAGCAGACCGATATGGTGAATTATTAGATCGACATAAGCAAAAATCTTAGTTTTCCCATAGTAATTCCCATACAAACTTCAAATGGTTTGTGCCATCTCAGTTTCTCACCAAATGGATTCAAATTTTGTGAGGTTAGTCAGGATCCGATTTGGAATCGTTTAAGTATTGTGGAGCGAAAATTTCAAATTGTGCATCACTCTATTGCTCATCTTGTTACATTACATGCCTGAAATGAGGAAACTCAGCATTAATAATAAATATTATGATCAGCAAAATTTTATTTGCAAGCCGCCATAACGTTAGGATAAAGCGGCGCTGGTGGTGTAGTGGTAAGCGTGATTACCTCTCACCCCAGCAGGCCTGGGTTCAAATCCCAGTCGGCGCCGCCGGGATGTTCTGAGGCATAACATCTCTGATCACGCCTTCCTTCGGAAGTAAAGCCGTTGTTCCCCGGTTCATGAGTTGATGGGTCGATAGGTAGGGTCCAGGTGTGGGAGCTGCCTCTCTTGGCAACATTGTTGAATGCGGTCTTTATTTAGCTGTTCATCCCAGGGATTGTACAGAATCCTCCTTGGAATTGGCCATCAGAATCCGTACTATGCGGTTCCTAATGTTTGCAGTGCTCGAACGTCATAGGCATTAAAGCAAAACATCTCTGACTGTTCCGTTAGGTCACCATAAATTTTCCAACGATTTTGAGGGGGCAGCTTGTAAACACGCACCGTTTAAAATAGTATCGGTTGCTATGTGCATTTGATGTTGAGCAACGCGAGTAACTCATAGTAACTCAATTTTACTCATGATCAAAAGCTGACTTGTCCCAAGAATAAAACCCTGTTTTCTCGAAGCTCAAGTAGAACAAATCTTAAAATAATGTTCCAAGGAAAATTTCTGCACTCTATGCAGAGTAATCTCAATGACCTTGCCGAACGCTCCTCTCCGGTGGGTCTCATAATCAACGTCAACAAGGCAAAATCGTTGAAGATTTAACACGTACAATCCTTCCAGTTTAACGGTAGCTGGTCATGCAGTGGATATATGTATTTTGATGCACGAATCAAGAAGGCTACGTCTTGCTTTGCAAGTTTACGAAACATTTGGAGATCAACCCTATATTAATAAAGTAACGTTTGTAAGCCAGCGAAACTTGATAAGTTTCAGCGTAGAACACTCAAAAGTTGCGCTGCATCTAGAAGCATTATTGTTCCACGTTTTTATGAAAGTACATATAACATGGGAAAATCGATAGTCTAACAACTGGATCTCGAATGCTGAGCAAAAAATCTTTCACGTTGGCCTTATGCACCACTAGAAGGGGCTTAAGATACCTGAATTAATTCCAATCCTCTGATTTTTTTTCGAAACCTAGAACTTCTGAAGAAAAAGCACTACAATTCCGACATGGGAATACTAGACGAACTCTTGAAGATGTACCTAGTAAACACCAGGATAGTTCTAATTTGCTATGGAATAGAAGAACACTTTCCTTTCCATGAATATTTTTTATACGCCAAAATTCAAGGTTTTATATTGAACATAGTTGGTAAACTATACGTCTGGGTCAAATTTAGAACAACAACGGAAAAATTATCCAAAATCCTAAAATAAAAACATATTAATGTAAATATTAAGGTCCTAAAGGTTTAAATGACTTGTAGTCAATAGTCGATTTTGTGCATGCCAATCTTTATGAAAAAGCAAACTATCAGTCTTTTTAAGCAAGTTAGTCATCTATTGTGCCTATACGTATTAAACAGCAGATCATTTTTTGATCAATCAGAAGAGGCATAAGAATTCGAACATAGTCAGACTCCATCTACCACAAATACCATGAGGTTTGACCTTATTTTCCCCAATCTCAAGACTCTCTTCCACTTCCCAGCAAACATCATAGCGATCCTAGTTTTCCATTGACCTAAGAACTGAAAAAATAACATCCCAACATGACCCCGTTTCCCATTGCTCACCTTCGGTATCGCACTCACCTGGAGGTTCCTTCATCAGATAGAACGGCCCACTGTGCACGATCGACGGGTTCTTGCCGAGCTGGATCGTTGTCTTAAGCGTTCCGGACGAGTCCTGGCGGGCCACTACCGGGGACCGTCCGCCTGCCCCACCGGCCCGCGGGGACGATTTGGGCGAGTATTGTTCCACCTTTCGGAACTGGTCGGTCATCATCACGTTGCCGTAATTGTTGAACATCACGTCTACCACGGACGGTGGCGTTGTTGGCTCCGTTTCTTCTACTACTTCGTCGTCGCAATCACTCTTGATAGTTGCAACAAGAGAGGAGCCCCAAGGTTTTAAAGGCAACAGCGCAGCAGTGTGTATTCAACACTGCGAACGGGCCTCGCTCTCTCGTCGTCGGGAGCCCAGAAACGGGGCTGACGCGACCCCGGAAACAGATCCGACTTTCGTGTGCAATCCGGTCGGCAAACGGAGTGGATACACTTTCTCGAACGAAATGAACAACCTAACACGCGGAAATACTGCTTTTTGCGAGGAAATTTTCACTTCGATCTCCTTTTTCGCGACAAAATCCACTGCTGCTACGAACCACAGAGGAGAGGAGCAAAAAATCGTTCTGCACTCGCAGACAAGCAGACAGCTTTGACAGGTTTTGATTGACAGCTTCTGTATTTATTTTCGTAAAGGCTTTTTTTGTTTCACGCTGTCAAGTTGGCAGCGCGAGTTGTTTTGGGATTTGTCACCCTTCAGCAACGTGCGTCGCACATTGGGAGTGAATGGAATCTGCCATGGTATAAATAAATCGAATCGGAAATTGGAAAATTATTACCTAAATATTGGAGATCAACAGTTGGCCCTCGTGGCGAAGGTATGAGCCGTCGAAATAATGAGTCAAAATTGCTTCACAGTAGTAAAATGGGAGAGAATTTTCTAAATGCTTGTATTTTTCTACATAAGCATTTTAATTAAATTTGGTTTTCACTAGCGCGAAAAACTTCAGGGGCTCCCGAATAAAAATGCCCCACTCAAAAACAATAGAGTTTATTGTTACAATGTAATAAAATCTATTGTACCAGCCAACAATCTTATTGACAAAAACATTAAAAGTACAATAGTTCTATACAAAAGAATCTGTTTTATATTAGACTTTTAAGCTTGAACTTGAGCTTGAGCTTGAGCTTGAGCTTGCTTGCTTGAGCTTGATTGACCGCCCACGGTTGCTACTCTGTTACTGCCAGATCAGCTGTAATTACACAGAGAACCAATAGACGATGCTTGGGACTATCAATCATCCTCAATGTGTAAAAACCGGTGATCTTAAATTAGGCAATACCAGCGCCGGCCGCGCCCGAACACAGGTCAAGAAAGGAATGGGAAGGATTGTGTTCACATGACACTCGCTTTGATGGAAGCCGAGAACACCTCTGCACTTCCACGAGGAATCACTGGGATGTTGGATAAGAGGGTTGGGTTTGCAGCAGGGTTCGTTTTGGTAAACGATAAGCTGAATTGATGTCTTAACGATCATATAACGCGAAGGAGCTTGGGAATAAACCCACGGTCTTCTGCTCAGTAAGCAAAAACGTTTGCCACTAGGCAGACGAGCACCTTTTTAATCACCGAGTTGCTGTTATTACCATGTAGTCATATTAACAAATAAAACGATTGACGAATCTTGAATGTGGATGGGCCTGAGATTAGACTCATGTTCTGCTCAGTAAGCAAAAACGGTTGCTCTAAGGTCACCGAGCCCCTCATATCACATAATACCGTTGCTCAAATTTGTGTATCCATTCAAACCCGGAACCAACGACAACAACGAGTTTCGCAAAATACACGATACACAAGCGATTTTACCATAAATCTCTTTGATATGTAAGAACCTGGGACCGCGTTTTTCTGCTCAGTAAGCAGGCCACTGTAACCGACGATCTTTCAAATCCGAAAACTAAAAACTACGAAAAAGTACTTAGGCCTTCATTAAGTTCCACTTTCACGCGACGTTCAATGACAGGGTCCTATCCAGGATTACATCTGAAAAATCCAAATCTGGCCAACGCCCACCCGAAACCTAAACCTGTTCTAATCCACCTGAAATGACTAACGAATGGAAGACATTGACTACCCAGCCATGCAATAGTCTCATTCCGTGCCTTATGGCAACTTGATGATTCTATTGCGCTCATCTTTTGGCACCACCCAGGGAAGACTTGGTCCTGTACCCAATGCTTAACTTATCTCCATTCCACTCAGCTACTCGCAATTTCTTGTGATATAGTGGGCGGAATATTATTATATGAGACAATTCAATGCAGACGTCTTTCCAAATTTGGCAGATCGACAGGTAATCGGTGAGTTACCACGATAGTTGCTATTCAACAACTCGACAACGTCCCATCGTCAACGCCTGCTATGAGAATTTCCCATTGCAGACGCCAACGAAATGACGTCATCGAGCTATCGATCAACTACCCTGGTTATCGCCTGGTACCTTATAGCACGATGCTAGGAGGCGAACCGGAAGAATCGATGAGCTACCTCTCCCCCTCTGTTTTATATTAGACTTTTAATAATAGAAAAACTACTATACTAGCTGAGTATTGCGATCTGACTCAAAATGCTTGTCATCTGGGAGCCGAGTCAAACTGTCAAACGGGAGCCAAACATTCAAAAGAGCTCAGAAGTCACGTGCCACCTACTGAAAACAAATTAAGAATTATCATTATGAAACTGCCGAAACAACAACCTAAGTAGGTGGATAATGTAAATCATTGAGCGTGATGCTCGAAAAAGTGTTTTTATTTGATATTAATAATGCCAAAACTGGGTTAGTGAAACAAGAATGTAATCAAACTTTATAAGAGTCATGTGAGCTTTGTGCACTCCCATCACAATGTATACGTTATTTCTGGAACAGAGGAGGAGGAACCAAGAGTTCATTTGACAGCATGTATATACAATTTCGTGAGCTGTGTCAGCAAAAAAAAAATTGAAACTTCGGAAGATTTTCAAGATGTTTTCTAGCTCACTTGAAAAATAAAATCGGCTGAGTTCACAGTACTCAGGTTACTAGTTACCGTAACCATAAAATAATCAATTTTTTATCTGGAACAAAATTGATCTCATTGCAATACATTTTTATTGTTTTTTATTGTTCGACATTTTGATATCATGAAATTTATTGTAGATCTACAATTGTGACAGTGACAATTTGAGTGCGAAATACCTGTTTTGTCACATTGTACAACATTTATAAGGACACCTTTTTTCAATTTAAGCTTTTTTCGTTCAGAATTTCACATTTATAATATATTTGTGGGCCTCCCTTAGCTTAGTTGGTAAAGGCGCAGCTACAGAGCAAGACCATGCTGGAGGTGGCTAAGTTGAGAGCCGATGTAATGTCTCAGTGGGAACGTAATAAAGCCAGAAGAAGAGATATTTTTTTTTTTTTTTTTTTTGTCTTTATTTTAGAGATTTTTAGCCTGAGGCTAGTTCATCTCTTAAGAAGAGATATTCTACATTGATTGTGCATCCAAAAAGGCTACAGTTCATTTTTAATTCAAATCAAAATTTTACCAGTTGTTACTTATATTGTATCAATGTGCATAAGGCGATCAGTGTGAGTACCGTTGCTGAAGGGGCCTCAGTTTAGACCTTTTCGCATTTTGATTTAGCAGAGACACGAGGCCAATATCGACTTATGAAATTGCGCCTAGCGATATGCGATGCAGTAAATGCGTATTTGGTCATTTGTAGACACAGCTATTTGTAGACTTCTTGTAGGCGTTGTCAAAATGCGTTGGATCACCGTAGCGTGTAGCAATGTAACAAAAACGATCTACATACATGATTGACGACAAAGAATAAAACGATTGCTGCTGAAGGGGCCTGAGTTCAGACTTTTTCGCAGTTTGATTTAGCAGAGACACGAGGCCAATGTCGACTTATGAAATTGCGCCTAGCGATATGCAGTAGTAAATGCGTATTTCGACAGTGAGCATTCATAAGGGCGTATACGCGATGATCGATTCTCTTCATCCATTTTCTCTTTTGTTAATGACTCGCTAGATTTAACGTTTGTCGGTGCGTTTGCTGTTGCTTTTGATAGTCAATGCAACCTGTTACAACTCTACATTGAACAAATTCTACAAAATTGTTTCGCTTAGCTGTAGCAATGCAAAGAGAAAATCGATGAAGAGAATCGATCATCGCTTATACGCCCTTATGCATGCTCACTGTCGATTTGATATTGTCAACAGAATTTTGTAGACTTCTTGTAGGCGTTTTCAATATGTGTAGCATTTATCAATGTAACAAAAACGGTCTACAAACATGTTTGACGACAAAATAGGGTAATTTGCCAATTGCTGCACAAGTTAGCACGTATTTTTGGTTATTTACATTTTTATGATATTAAAATCGTTTTTGAAGTAGGAATTCCTCAAGAAACCTTTGAATGTGATTCATGAAGCATGTTCAGCGCTCATCAGCAATTTATATTGGTAAACTCATTCTGTATAGTTAAACTTTTCAATGTCCCTCAGAGTCTAATTGTTGCACGCATCATTTGCTTTGAAATTCTATTATTGCACACTTTGTATCTAAATGTATCTTGGAATGACATTTTTCAGCAAAAATAACCATTGAGTGATTTTGTTAGATGATAAAACGTAAGTTTCCTGTAAGTTACTTACGATATCAGCCATTTTATTGATTTAATTGATGCGGTCAAAATATACGCAGAAGCTCTTTAATATGTCACTTGCATACCTTCAGGCGTTATCGCCATAAGCAATAATCCACACCAAGAGTCCAAATGTGATCCATTATTGAGCATTAATATATTTTCTGTAAAATTTACAACTTTGATAGATGTATTGCAATTGATCGTTAGACAAAAGAATAACCAACATTTTCCTGAAAAGATTACTTAAGTAAATTGAATTTTGAGCTTGTAATAGTTTTGTTTACAACTGAAGATTATTACCAGAAAAAATAATAAATCATATGAGCAATGTAAAAAATATTTAGAACAAGTTTTATCACAATAGTCCTAACACTGAGTATGCAAAACACACGTTTTATCATTCAACAATTGATCACTGATTGTCATGCCACCATGATCGGAAAACAAACGATTTTAAATTGGCTCACTACTTGACTAGCCTATTGGTCCCAAGCAAATCGACTAACGTACCCCATTCTAGTATAAATTCCAGTACTACACTATGTTTGGTTTTATTCGCTCTAAGAGGAAGAGGTGACAATTGGCTTATTACTCTTTAATTTCTATCTCTATCTCTATCTTTATCTATGTCTATCTCTATCAGCGTTGCCAGATTGTTTTAAAGCTTATCGGTATCGAAGATATGAAAAAATCGGTATTTATCGGTATTTACTATTATATATGTTTGCCGTTTTGGAAAGCAAGTTTTTTTTAACAATAGTGACAACTGGGACTTGAGGGGAATTGCTTTGTCTAACGGCTTTCTCAGTCTTAAAGCACTCTTTAATTTTTTATTTAATTTTTAACATTATCGTTCTCAAATGGTGATCGAAATTGTGACCAAGTAGTTTTTTTTTTCAATTTAATATCATTAAATGAAACCAAAATATGGAAAATCAGCATAAACAACGACCA